CATAGCCTGATGTCATCCAAGTAACGAAGCTGCTAAAGCGCGCAGTAGAATGCATAGACTGATGTCATCCCAGTAACGAAGCTGCTAAAGCGGCCAGTAGAATGCATAGACTGATGTCATCCCAGTAACGAAGCTGCTAAAGCGCGCAGTAGAATGCATAGACTGATGTCATCCCAGTAACGAAGCTGCTAAAGCGGCCAGTAGAATGCATAGAGCGGGCAAACAAAAAATCAATTTTTTACGTAAGAAAACTAGAAAATAATTAATAATCGAATTTTTTAAATGAATAAGAATATACAAAAAACAACAACAACAACAAGTGAGTAGATCTTTTTGAACACTCGATACTCTCAACAGACAGCTGCATTGCAGCTACAACTTTATATAATATACTCGTGTTTTTTCTTATTACTCAAACTACTAAGCCTAAGGTTAACCGCTACGTTGTTTGGTCATATGTTATGTCAGCAGTTAGCCAGTTTCTACTCAAATCATAGGCATGTGGACAATATAAGTAAAACAGAATATTTTAAAATTATGAACTTCCCAAGGGATCGATATATGTCGTAAATACCCTCTTGAATTGTTATTTTACGTGTTTACAAATATTTATTACATTGAAATTAAATCATTGCAATTGTTGCATTATGCAATAAAAGTAAGAAGTCGGGTTAAAAATTAAATAAACCATAATCTCTATATAAAAAAACAAGTCATGAATGAACTTACCTTCGGGTGTGCCCGTTTTGGAAAAGCTACCTTTGGATCGACCTACAAAGAAAGAACAGAAATAAGGACAAAGAAGGCGCAGTAGATCACTGGTGACTTTGACTTGACTTAACTTACTTATTTAGAACCACTGTTATATATATATATATATATAAAGTAACTTTATTAGGAATAATATATTTTATGAAGGTGTATTCTTTATGATTGTTAAAAGATTGAATCACGAAATGTAAATAATTATAAATAATGAATTTCATAATCTTAGAAGGATAAGTGATTAAAACTGTTGCAAACAATACCATCCTAAAACTCAAGTAATACAGAATTTTTAATAACACACAGTTCTTCTGGAACCGTGTGGGCATCATGCTCTTTAGAAAAATCCCCACTGTCGCTACCTTAACCACAATGTTATTATAAAGATGTCGTTACCTTAATTACGGTGTTCTTATGAAAGAGTGACTACTTTACTTACATTGTTTTTTTTAGCCATAATTACCTTAGCTACAATATTTATCTTGTTGAGATGTGTTTTATCAATCCTGTTGATTTTCAAGATCTCGTTACCTTAGTTGATGTAGTTTTTATGTACACACACATACATCTTTTTACTCTCAATTTAGCAATAATCTATTCTTCTTTCAGTGAGTAAAATTCCAACTTTTCATATCATCAATTCACCTGTGTTGGCTGATTCTACAGTTCCCATTTGAACATGGAACGAGTCTTTTACGTAATGTGGGATCAACTGTTTTTCAGCCATGATTTTGCTGTCAGGATGCGATTCCTTACATGCCACTTCTGATGCTATCAAGCGAAGTCTACATAATTAGTCTCTAAAGCACTGTTATTGGATCTCTCTCCAAAGTTTTATTGTTAGATCGATAGCCAAAGCGCTATTGTAGGATCGCATTCTAAAGCACTATTTTTGGATCACTCCCTAAAGTACTATTATTGGATCGATATTTATTAAGTACTACTGTAAGATCACTCTAAAGCGCCCCCCAGTGGTACAGCGGTATGTCTACAGACTTAAAACTCTAGAAACCAGGTTTCGATACCCATGGTAGGCAGAGCACAGATAGCCCATTGTGTTGCTTTTTACACAAAACACTCTAAAGCGCTATTGTAGGATGGCTTTCTAAATCACTGTTGTTGGATCACTCTCTAAAATATTTCTTTGGCGCAGTAAAACCTAAAAAGCTGTATAACATTGTGTGTAATATACGAGGGAAAACACACACCAAGAATAACTGTTTAAAAGATTTTAGGCCAATGTTTAGAGAATTTTACTTCTTTCACATTCCTGTGAAACTTACGATCAAGGAAAACTTTTTTTCCTTTTTTATATTTATTCCAAGCTGCTTTTGCAAAACTTATTTTCGAGATTAATAGAAAAACAAAACAGAGACAGATATTTCAAATTACATTTACTTCAGTTGTTTAAACTATTTCAAGCTTCAGATGTATTTGTAAACTAAAGTGAATTATGTTTAAACCTTCTTATTACAAAAAAGTCAATTGTGGCCAAGTGGGCAGTGTGCCGAGCTACGGGTCAAAATGATCAAGGTTCGGGCCGCGATATTGTCGACTAACACTCGCTCCACACTTTCAACTGTAGAGCTTTACAAGTATAACAGTCAATTCATCTATTTGATTAGGAGTAGCCAAATAGGCGGTTAGTGCTGCTGATTACCATCCCTCTGGGTACTAGCCCTGAATCTGAGATGCCTACGTCGGAACCTTTGGGGTGTAATAATCTGGCTTTTAATTCATGTGCTGCGTAAGATGCTATTCAGGTTGAAAATACTAATTACCGAAATAGCTTTTTCTCGAAAGCTACTGCACCTTTTTTTTTTTTTAAAAAAAGTGTTATTTAGCATATTTCGAATCAGGTTGGTTTTGTGAGAAACAAATTCTTAGTCACTACCTGTTATCAAATGTTTGTAATGGTCTGAAACGTTTTACACGTTTTGTTTGTACGTTGATTATATATATTAGTTATTCAGCTCTTATTTTCTCTGTCCTGACCTGGAGAAATGAATGTTTCACACAAAAAACATTTCACAAAAGTGTGGTACAATTTTAGCGCTTCGTGCGTAATATATTGAAATTTTGGTATTGTATAGACAGTATTTTTATTTTTATACGGTTTATTTCAAACAACACCGTAGCCTGCAATATTTTAACGCTATATTGTTTCACGTTGTACCTTTACACAGTATTTAATATAATCAATCATACCAACGTTTTGCGTCACTAATGGCTTTAGGCTTGTAATGTACATTCTTTAATTGCAGGCCTCTACCGATAGGGTGTCTTTGTTTGTCTTTAAGCGCATGCATACAAACCCTAATTTTAGCGCTATTAACCCTCGGACTTACTGCTGAGTAACCGGGAGGGGGGGGGGGCGGCTCGAGTATGTTGCTGTTGTGTAATGGCAGATGAGTATCATTTTAAACTGACTTTTTTACAGCATGTTATGAACGAGGTGAAGCGGGGGATAGAACCCCATTGGAGAGTTCTACCGTCAACTGAGATACAGTCTTTTAAAATTTTAAATTCTCCACATTGTGACTCACACTGAGGTGAATTTGTATTTGTTAATTTTTTGTTCCTTGAAACTCAATGACCAACCTATACTTCTCCCAATTAAAGAATCCTAAAAACGCCACTAGTGATGATTCAATAAATACTTATAGTTTAGAATGTAATCCTGCTAAATCTAATATTGATGGATCATTATGTCAGTCAGTATTGTATGTGTACCAATTTTTCAAGTTAAGAAAATAATTACTAAACTTCATCTGTTAACATAGTTGTAAGGGAAAAAAAGACGTTTTTATGTACTGTGATTATTTTAAGAACTACCTTATTCTAATGAAAAGTACAGGGTAGCTAGAAATAAATAGTACACTCGAAGCTTATCATGCTAATGAGTTTAAAAAATCATATGTAAATTTTGATTCGTTCAAAATCTGCTCTATGTATGTTTATTTCATATTTCTTAATTTATAAGACACAAAATCAAGAGAAAAAGAAGCTATGATATAATGTTTTAATAAACGATATTTACATAATTTCTGCATACTCTCTCCGGATCTCACAGATATCTGGAAGCTGTTTAGAATTTTTCGTTAATCTAAAGGCGGAAAATATAATTAATTTTTAAGACTGCTTCGAATGATATTTGTATTAATTAATGAAGCACACTACCCCATTCCAAGTGTTAGACTCAATAACGTTTTTTTCTGTTACCTTCCTACACTAAAATCCCCCCACCCCCAAATCCGGCACATTATTTTCTAGAGATTATATTCAGTATATCTATCAATCCATACTATTTAACACGTGTGCGGTACGAAGTTGCAGGGGGCACTCATCAATCATGCTCACAAACTTGCCTTGGATACAATCTAAACTTTCAATAAAATCGGAAATGTTCAAACAGCTCTCACCTTCTTGCCGTCTAACTCGTGTGGACCATTGGATAACACTTTATCTACGGAGTTTGGGTCAGCAAAAGTGATAAACCCAAAACCACTGAAAAGCAAAATAAAATATTAATCGCATTCGGCTATATCACACACACACACGCACATATATATAATAAATATTAATTTATACATCTCCTCTCAACAGAAAGATGAAAAACAAGAATAACAATACAGAACAGTTGCACTTTATAGTTTGTCTTGAGGTACACTTTTCTACTATAATAATTGCTCCTCAACCTTTCATAAAAAGAAAGACATAAAAGACACAACCAAGTCAAGGATAGTGTTATAGGTGGCGATTTACAATTTCAGACAGTAAAATCTAAACATGGAAACTACATGCGCATAATTTGCCTGAAATCTATACATTAGGAACAATACACGTTATAATATCCTTGAAATCTATAAATTAGAAACAACACGCGTTCTAATATTTTTAGACTTCAAGACAGAGGGACACAAAGAAGCATATCTTCATGGTTTATATACATAGATAGACATATCGATAGGAAAGTATAAACAAATAAGTAAATTAGACGGGTGTTTAGACACAAAGAAAGAATGTTATGCAAATACAGTGTGACGGATTTATTATTATATATTCATTTTAATATCGATGTTGGCTTGAATTAAATTTATATTTACAAGTGTACATAACTTGCACTGTTAAATATGTATTGCGAAACTCCCGCCTATTGTCTAAAGTTGTAGAAGATTCTCGAGTGTAAAAATCAACAATATATGTATGTACGTAAACGCTTAGTGTAGCTTTCTATTGTTACGTAATCTGAATTTTCAAGAAACTCGCCACACGCCTATAAATATAACCAACGCGACGCGCCAAAAAAGTAGTATATATTATTAGTTTGCTATAGTCATTGTGCTATAAACTTCGGAAACTATAATTGTGATTGTT